AAGCGAGCACTGGCTGTAACAGAAAAAGCGCTATTGTAAAGTCACCTAAAGAGAAATGCCTGTAAATCAATGACGCATATCGGATAGACGGTGATTACTAATTGTAATTATAAATAAGATAAATAAAATAATAAAATAAAGTGTTGAAAAAAAAATTTTTTTTAATTCTCAGTATCGAGGAGCCTGGCATAACTGTTTCTGGTGTATGGGAGTATCCCAGTAACATTACCAAATGGGACCCACGCTGATTGTAGCCTGTTTTGATGCTGTAATTAGGAAAGATATTATTTACAAGTGAAAATATGGTGATTTCAGAAAGCCGGATATATCAGAGGAGCTGTTACGTGATCCGAGACTTCTTTTGCAGAAAGCAAGCGATGTACTAAAAAGTTTACAGACTCAGGAACTAGCTGCAGCTGCTGAGCGAACGATGGCTGGTTCGTTTTTGGCTGTAGATAAATTAACCGCAGTACTTATGGTGCGGCCCCTCTTCATAATCTGGGAGCTGGCAAAGTTTAGTATGAGCTGTTGGTCATCCAAAAAAGATCAAATTTTCATGCCGAGAAAGATGGTTGGAAAATTACATGAGAACTGTGCGAACTAAACTGCATAAAACTTTGCGAAGCGCTTAATTTCGGCCGAATTGCCGATCTGTTCTGCTTTAGGGGACAAAATAAACGTTAAATTGTCAGCAGGCTAATCACATGCATTGTAGCAGTAGGAAATTTTACCAACTGCGTGGCGGGACAGCCAAACTATGATTTGCAACAGATCCAAGTAAAAGACGTAAATGAGGTAGTATAGTGTGGTAAATGAGGTATTGTATAGCTAGGAAGTAAAACGTAGAAGGGAGAGGGGGAGGGGGAAGGGAAGAGGCGGGGAAAAGTCAGCCGAAATGGATCTGTTCCACTGATATATCGGACGATTAAAGAATTTCTAGGTTCCTTTTTGGAGCTGAAAATAGCAAGAATTTTTAGATACGTGGTCTCCTACGGCAGGGTTAAAACAGTGGTAAAGTTGTTGGCGATTGTTTAGTCTGCTTTTTTCGTAACAAATATTCTACAGAAAAGCAGAACCAGCAGCAATATGAGCAATTACCTCTGGACAAAGAATACGAAGAGAACGAAGAACACAAGCCACTGCCTGATTTTCACGGAGAACCGGTTCCGGATTCGGATGACGAGATAATCATAGAGGGTGTTTCTCGAAAAAAGTCTACGAAAAAGAATTCCATACAAGAGGAGGAGCCAGTACCTGGTGATGAACAAATTGAAATTGATTTCTGTAAGTCTTGGTTTTTATATTATTATTTATTTATTATTCATATTTGGCCCATTCTCAGTTTCCATGGCTTTCCTTGATAAAATCGTGTAAATCCATGACTCGCTTTCTTCAGATAATGCGGATTTGAATATCAAAGCAAGTGAAACGTGTCAGGAGGTGATCGATCCGGACAACGGTGACGGCTTTGCGTTGATGTGGGGTGGTGCCAGGTCCACATACGGCATCCGAATTTCCAACGACGAAGTATTCGCGCACTTCCCGCCTGTCATTTTCCAGATTAAGGCTTGTTCTTTCGTATCATTGCTTTACTGAGTAGACTAGCATAGCAGAACTTATGTCGTGGCTGCACTGTGCCGCCAGCAGTTTCATCGTAAGCTTGATATTGAAACTCTACTTCATACATTACTGCTTCACTTTACACATTGGTACTCATCATCTATAATACTTTCTACCTTTACTAACATACACTTTCTACTTTTACTAGTATACGTCATATAGTTAATTTAAATTTAATTTGTACCAATTACAATTACCACAGTCGTCGTACTGACAAGGTCCAGTTGTAGTAATGGTAAGAAATGTATACGACTTAATGGGATCGAAACATTTCTTATAATAATTTTATTAAAACAATTTCGTAATATTATCTTCTGTTTCGCTCTACTTCCTGTTTCAAAATACCTTTCTGTTGGAAGTCCGTGCAGCCGTGTTGTCCTTTACTCTTTCATATGTATATAAAGTGTATTCCTGCAGAGTAAAAATCGTACGTACTTCAACTGTCAGTTTTAACATTCGTTACTAAATAATCTAGCAGGTGATGAGGTACGGGGTGGATGAGGAAGGAGGGAAAGAAGCGAGAAGATAGGGAAACATATTTGTTTACTTCCGAGGATATTTGAAAAATCGGGGGCGAAATTTTTAAAAAATTGCGAATTTTAGTCTGAAAAAAACACGCATTTCTCTTTTTGCTAAAATGGAGCGCCAGAACATCTGTTGTAGGTGGAACAGTCTGCATAACTGGCGGGGACCTTGTAGATTGGGAAGAAGGGATGGTGAGAATTTATTAAAAAAAAAAAACTAAAAAATTTATTAGCCGAGGCATAAAATTCAGTTTAAAAAGCATTAGAATATGTTGTTAGTAGTTAGTTTTGGTCTTAATTTATGCGTTTGGCATCCTTTTCTCAAAAAATGGATAGGTTGTGAGGTTGTGCGCTTTATTACGACTTGTTTATGTGACTGTACTGATATTTTTAGATATTGGAATAC